TTTTGCCTTCTTGAATTGCTCTTCAGAGCCAAGGCTGGGGGTCAAAACGCAAGACTGCAAGGTGCTCAGGTGGCCCCAGATTCAGGGTGTGGGCAGTGGGGGCAGTGTTGGCTCAGGGCTGATCAGATAAGGCCAGGAGTGGGGCTCCCACCCAGTCATGACTTGATGCTGCTATTTACTTAAAATCCTTCTTTAAGTTAGCATATTTTTTAAATTTAAATAATTGTGTTTAAATTTTACTTTAATGAAATTCTACTTCAATGAGTTTATTTAATTGTAGTTAAATACATTTATTTAAATTTATATGCATATTCTTTAAATAAACAAACTCACCATAAGTAGAGATAACCACAAAAGTAAATAGAATGAAACTAAAGGAATGTTCACCTCTAGCTAGAGGCATTGCCTGCTGAGGGCCGTAGCCTGAGCCCTGTCCCGACACAGGGGGCTGGTGAGCCCAAAGTGTCAGGTGCAGCTGATTCCTCAGAGGAGATGAACAGATGTGACGAACACCTGGGTTTCCCGATGGGTGATGCTGTCATTTATTGCCCCATGTTCCACCTTGCCCACCCTAGAGGTGATGAGATAGGCCTTGCCAGCACCAGCCCCACTCTCACAGGTGATGTCCAGGCCCTGGGAGTGCATCCATCTTGTGTCTCCATGACCCTGACAGAAATTTCTGGAGTTGGCCAAGCAGGTTGGAGAGTTTATCACATGGAAACAAGTGGAGTGTCCCTTCGAGCAAGACCCCAGCATCACCCACTACCTGTACACGACCCCTGTCTTCAGTGAGGACGGTAAGGTAGCCCCAGGCCTCACTGACCCCCAGGCCATGGGACTCTTGTGCACCCTCTTAGTAATGTTGCCATTAAGGGCCCCTGCTTTGAGTACGACACACCATGCCCACGTTTGCTGGCTTGGGGAGGGAGCAGACAAGGCTGCATCCCCCTGCCGGTTGGTTGTCACCCCCGGAGCACTGGACAGGGCCTGGGGAACTGCAGGTTGGGCCTGCCAGGACCAAGCTTCCCCTGGACACAGTTTGGAAGGGGTTGGGTATCGTAAATCTGGACCACCTTCTGTCCGACCCCACTTTCCTCTTCAGAAAAGTGGGGATGATGATAAGAACTTCCCTCCCGGGGTTCATGTGGGGATGTCCTTCCAGCTGGTGTGTGTGTGTGCATGTGTGTGTAACACACACCAGTGTCAGATGAGACAGCTACGGAGTACTGTAAATATCTGTTCCCTCCAGAAATCAGCGTTCCCACCTGGTCACTTGTCAGATATAAGAAATTTGCTGGCGAATTGCTAAGTGAGCGAATTCCAGGAGCCCCTTCCTCCAGGAAGAGAAAGTGTTGAAGTAGCAGGTGGTCATCTGGGTCTGAGTTGATGCTCACTGTTGGGTGGTGTGGCCCCAGGTTAGCTGCCCCTGGATCCAGCACCCTCAAATCACCCCGGGAGACTCCTGCTCAGCACAGAGGAAGCCTGGCTTCTTGTCACAGCCAGCATTTTACAAAGGGAACACACTCAGGGACAGGAGAACATGTTCTGCCCAAAACAAAACAAAATCAGAGGAAAGGAGTTTTTAATGATTTTGCTTTCTAATTTTTAATACTTTCAACTTTACCACTTTATTTTTTATTTTTGGAGCTAGTAACTTTTTGGAGGCGGTCTCATCAGTATCTGGAGTCCCTCTCTGCAACAAGCTCAGCAGCCTGATGGGTAAACCAGCCTGGGCCACTCCCACCCCAGCAAGCTGTGTGACCCTGGGCAGGTATCTCACCCTCTCTGAGACTCCCCTGCTACATGTATACAGTGGGGTAATGAGACAGCCTACTTCCCAGGGTTGAAGTGAGAATTATTCGAGTTGGCAAAGCCCATAGAACTACACTCAATCAATACTAGTTGTATTAATGCTGAAACAATTCACTACAAATTTGGTGGCTCAAAATAACACAAATTTATCCTCTTACAGTTATGGAGGTTAGAATCCAAAATCAGTCTCACTGGGCTAAAATCAAGGTGTCGGCAGAGCTGGTTATCTGAGGGAAGAATCATTTCCTGGCCTTTTACAACTTCTAGGGTTGCCTGTATTCCTGGGCTCATGGCCCCTTCCTCCACCCACATGCAAAGTGCATCACTCCAACCTCTGCTTCCATCATCACATCATCTTCCCTCTTCTGTGGTCAAGTCTCCCTCTGTATCACTCTTAGGACAATTGAGATAGCATTTACAGCCACCTGGATAATCTCCCATCCCCAGATTCTTAACTTAACCACATCTGAAAAGTCCCTTTTTGCCGTAGAAGGTAACTTATTCACAGGCCCTGGGGATTAGGATCTGGATATCTCTGGGAGCCATTACTCAACCTACCACACCAGTAATTACAGTGATTGTTGTCATTAGCCAATAGAAATTGGGCAATAAAATGCATCAAGGGCACATTAGGAAAGAGGTAGGGGGAGTCTATGGGCAGGGAAGAGAATGAGGGGGGCATTTCGTTCACTCCTTCAGCCAACAGTATTTCTAGAGAGACTGCTGTGTGCCATTTGGCCATGAACATATAGATAAAACCCTGCCCCTTCTGAAGCACGCTTAGAGGGGAGCACCTTCCATTTGACCCTCTCTTCTTTCTGTTCCTGCACCCTGCCACCCCCACTCCCCACCCCCCCGCAAAAAAAAAAAGAGAGAAAAGCAAGAGAAGGGACCTAAAATGTATTGAGCGCTGACTGGATCAGTCAAAGCCTCTGAGAGAAGTCCCACATTGCCCTCAGCTCCGGGCCTCCCCTGGCAGGGCCTGCCGGGCAATCCAGTCAGCCTTGAGTCTCCCTGAAACTAATGAAAATACAGAAAGTTGCAGCAAAGAATAAGAGGATATAAGGAAGAGCCAAATGGAAATTTTAGAACTGAAAAAATACAGTAACTGAAATAAAAAAAACTGAGTGGATGGGCTCAACTGCAAAATGGAGAGGACAGAGGAAAGAATCAGTGAGATGGAAGATAGAACAATAGAAATTATACACTCTGAACAAGAGAGCCTCGGGGACTTATGGGACTAGAACAAAAGATCTAATACTCATGTCATCAGAGTTGGAAAGGAGGGGACAAGAGGACAGGGTTGAAAACTACCTGAAGGAGTAATGGCTGGAATGTTCCCAGATTTGGAAAATATATAAACCTACAGATTCAAGAAGCTGAGTAAATCTCAAAGAGGATAAACCCAAAGAAACCTGTACCAAAAAACATCATAGTCAAACTTCTGGAAACTAAGGAAAAGAAACAAATCTTAAAAGCACTGAGAGAGAAATGACACTTCACCTATAAGGGAAAAACAATTCAAATGACATCAGATTCTGCATCAGAAACCATAGTGGCCAGAGGTAGTGGCACATTTTTCAAGTGCTGAAAGAAAATAACCACCAATCAGGAATTCTACATACAGTGAAAATATCCTTCAGGAATTTACTATAGAGAAATCAAAATGGAATTTTAAAAACTGTTCTGGTGGGCTGGCTGAGTGGCTCAGTTGGTTGAGAGTTGGCTTGGGAGCACGAGCTCTGAGAAGCAGGGTCTCCAGTTTGGTTCCCATATGGGCCAGTGATGCTATGCCCTCTACAGCTAAGATTGTGAACAACAGCTCGACCTGGAGCTGGGCTGCCGTGAGTGGCCAGCGATGGCGAAGGCTGCAGCCCCTGCTGCAGTGGGCTGCTGTGGCCTACTGTGAGTGGCTGGCAGCCAGCATGAGCTGCCATGAGCCACCGTGAGTGGCCATCCAATGGCCAACGACTGACTGCCTCAGCCGGGAAGAGCACAATGATCACAATATCAACATGAGCCAATGAAGCAGTGTCTTCCACAACTAGACTGAAGAACAAAAGGACAGCAACTTGTCTGTTCCCCTTCCCTGATTCCCCAACGCTGTTCCCCACCCCCAATTCCCTAATAAAATCTTTTTTTTAAAAAAAAACTGTTCTGGTAACCCACAGAAAGACAAGAAAAATAAAACAGAAACAAAACA